TATGTGGTCTGTTTGCTACCCAACTCTATATCGTGTTTTCAGGCGGAAGAGGGTGGGGAGGGCATAGGGGCACCTTCCTTTGACCGGAACTTTTCGATTTATGGAAGATCGGACACAATTCTAGCCAGGAATGCTAACCGCATACCGCATACCGCATACCGCGCGGAGCAGGCCCCCCCGCCCATCGCCCCCTCGCGGCGGCATAGCGCATCGACGCTCTTACGATGTCGCTCAACTGGGGATGATCCCGGTCGCGCGAGAACAAAAGGCAATTCTCGGACCGCGTGACGGCGCCTCTGGCCGACGTTGCCACTGGTGAGGGCGCGAGGGCCGCAGGGGACACGTTGGCGCAGACGCCCCTTCTCTGCCAACGCGGGTCCCGAGCGGAAAGGGCGGACTGCGGCGTTTTGCTCCCGGGGGACGGGGGCGCAGGGGCAGGGCTGGGTTTGGTTTTTGGGCCGAAAGTTGTGAAAGAGGCGCTGGCAGTTGAGTTCAGTTGGGCACCTCAACCAACCTTGGACCTAGAAGGGCTTTAGTGAGGAGCTGGTATGAAGCTGGTTCTGACGGGGCTGTGCGAATGTCTAGCCACGAGTGCCCCTCCAGACTCTCTGGACAAGGGGTTAGGGGTTTCCGCAACGCTAATGTGCGCACGGAGCAACAATGGAGCGCAATGGACGCACACGGGGGGGGAGGGTGTGTGTGTTAAGATCACGAGAATCCCGCAAATTGAGTACTGAATTTGCATGTGGAAGAACTCAGATGTTTCGCTGCGTCCTGTTTACCATCACAGCAATGGAGCGGCCGCACCCACTGGCGGCTGTGCCGCGTCCCGCCACCAGTTCGCAGGCTGCCTGGGGTGCACCGGTGCAGATACATGCAGGTCAACCACTTGTCCCACCGTTCCTCCCCTATTGCCCCAGGTGGCCTCCCGCCCATTCACCCCGCTGTGCGCCGCTTGGCCTGGCGCGTGCGCCATTGCCTCCGCGCGAGATGAAACTTCAGCAGCGGGACCACATTCGCCGGACCCGCTGGTGTTGACCATGCATGGTCATCAAGCATGGTCAGCTCCCGTGTCAGATTCAAGCTCCGGCGAGATCAGCCCCCGCGAGGGCGTTGAATCCCACTGTCCCAGCCGAGAGAAAATCTACGACAGGGAATGTCGACAGAATTCGGTGGCGCTGGCGGCTGCGGCGGGCCCCCAAGTTCCGAGGCCGCCTTCCTAGCGCGGGAATAAAAGGCGAGAGGCGATCCAGGTAGTGCCTTCCGGAGGCAGAAAAGCGTCGTCCCCGCGTTGCTGCGCAAACACGGCGCCGCGAAAAGCGCTGCTCCCAGATGTTGCCGCAGGGCGGCAGGACTTTCGCCGCCCGTGCTCCGCCGCGCTTCGGCACGCTCGAGGGGCCTCGCTCCCGCGAAAGCACGAAAAAGGTGTGTCCCGCACGGGTGGCGCCAACGCAGCATGCGCAGGTGCCTCCCAGCCACCCACCCCGCCCCCCGCGGCAGTACCCCTGCGCCTGCATTCCCGAGAAGCAAAAAGACTGTCTCACCCTCGTACAGTGCCCATGCCGGACCCGAGCGCAGCAGTCGCCGCGCCGGGCGGCACTGGCGCCCTCGGCTCCGAAGCTGACGGCCAGCACGGCTTGCGAAGGAATAACGCGGCTGGGCGTTATTGCGGGGGCCCTTATGCAGCGGATGGGGCAATACTCAAGCTTTCACGCCCGCCCACCCCGGCGATGCCCAACCGCAATCCCAGCAAATTCACACCCGCCCTCCAGCGGCGCCGGCGCACGCCATTCCTGGCAGCTCGCCGTACGTACTCAGGGGGCAAACGCGGCTGCTAGGGGCGCAGACGGGACAGTGACGGGTCATACGGAAGCGGGTGGTAGGTGGCGGGGTACGTACGGGGAGCTGTACCTCGTGCGGCTGGCCAAACTAAATGCGGGGTCCATCGGATTTCAGCAGCTCTTCAGGCGCCCGTGACCATCTGTTCCTGCAGTGCCTCACCGAATGTTCCATCGCCACTGGTGTCTCTGGACGATCCTGTGGTTCGGGTGCCGGATGGCAGCGTGTTTGTTCACGAGCCCGACCTACAACCACAGAGGAAATCTGTCACGATGCGCTCGGCGAATTGATTGGTGCAGTACCTGCAGCGCACAGTCCTCTTCGCCCATTTCAGCGCATTAGTCGCCTGAAACCATCACCACAGGCCGCGACTCATCGCTGTGACGCTCAACCGCCCCCCCCCGCGGCGCGGCAGGGCAAAATCTGAAGCCCTGCTGACAGGAACCAAAGGTGGCTTGCGGCTCGGCCCACTTGAAAGAAATTGTCCCAGGCCACGGCATGAACAAGGCGTCGCAAGGTCCGGCTCACTGCGCAACGGTGAGCTTGGTTGAACAGTCTCGTTGAAATCCCATTGAATTTTCTTGTGCTTGCAAACAACGCACAGACAATCTTATGCTTCCTGCAAAATTTGTAAGCTCTGCGCCAAATCTCGTAGCCACGGCCACGAACAGCACTCCTTCTCAAAAGAAAATTTGGTGGGGACCGGTGGCGGTTGAATCACTGGGCCAGTGGTCCCGATGCAAATGCAGAGCACTGTTTCAAATGCCAACGGAACCGTCATTTCGGCGATGTCGGTTGTCAATGCCATTTGATACTAATTGGTGCCGTTGCATTTGTTTTCATGCACGGCGATCACTGGAATGGCGCCGTTTGGCGTCACCATGGCATCTTAGTTGGTGTTGCCAAATTGTCCTCTCCTCCTGTGAAAATCCTCACAAACTGGCTAGAGATATACACGACACTGGCATCAGCACTATTGGCCATGCCACTGTCTTGTTCTGTGGTGGTGATTCCCGTCGACCAGCGTTTTGTAAACCAACGCGTTTATGCTGCCCCATTCAGCATCAGTGCGTTGATTGCGCTAAAGGCCAAGCCGGATAATGATGGTTGATGATTCTATTCATCAGGCGGGCTGGGTGCTTGTTTGGCAGATGGGTCCGCAGGGCAGCAGCTTTGTTGATTTCACTGACACTCTAGTGAAGACTGCAACCTGGTGGCACACTCGCTTCGGTATGTGCTCCCCAGACGGCTGCACAAGTTGTGGCAGTTCTTGCCTGCATAGATGCAAATGCAATGGGCTACCCATAGGATCGTTCAGTGCAGATAATTGCTACACCCCTCAGAACGAAAGGTGGTATCCAAGGTTTGGTGCACCTGGCCCGTGTAGGTGGTGAATGGAGCAATGTGCAAGACGCAAGTCAGAATACACAAACCTAAATCAACATGGCAAGACAGTTCTGCATCTGTACGAGCGGCACAGTCGCTTGTGCCTACAGTGTTGCCCTGCTGTGAGCCAACTGCAGCATTGCTGAAATTGCCAACAAATGGAGCAATATGCTACATATGCGCATTCCATATTCATACATCATATGCACATGGTGATGCAAAGGGCAACACCATGCATGCCAGCATGAATTTGTCCAACGTACCCACGGCCCCAAGGCATAAGCACGTCTGCCCTGACGTTATGTTGGCCTGCATATCATCCGCTAGTCATACATATTACATAAATGCCATAGTACCTGTCGAACTTTTCCCAGATGCTGCCATGTTAGGCAGTATGCTCCAACTATTGCCCGGCTTCCTCAGGTAGAATTCCGTGGGGTAGTTTTGATGCATACACATTGGCGATGCATCATACCAGAGCACGCTCATTGACTTCCAAATGGCTCCAGCCACGTTCATCTTTCATGCACCGATAGCTATGAAACGCCGGTCCGGTCGTACACGAGGTCAAACCTGGGCAGCCAGGCCAGCGGGCAGCGCGTTCCTTATGGCTATACCCCATCGATACGGTGATTCCCTATCCTTCTCTTTCATTTAAGAATGTTCGCAATTCCCAATTCGGCGCCCGGGTCCCGCCAGTCCCGCATGATCCCCCATGAGACGCCCTTCCAGAGCGCTTCAGATAGTTCGACAGCCGTCAAGTAGTCATCACATCTGGCAATGCATGCCGTGATGCAGGGAGCGAATCTGCGGCGGTGGGCGGCCCGAATTCGCTTGCGAATCCCAGCCACAGAACACTAAGACATGCCATGCTGCCCCCGGCGCCGCTGGAACGGCCTCTGGACGCAGCACTGGGCTGCTAATAGATACGCTCCGGCGCAAGATCCTCGAGACACCCGGTCACGCATGAGGGAACGCGGGGATGAGGGAGCCCATGACTGACCTTTCTGCGCCGGGCCAGGCTGGATCCACAGGCATGTGCGCCGGGCGACCCTTAGAGTGGCCGAAAAAGGCCGGCGCGCTGTGTCATGCCATGTCCTTGGAAAACTGGCCAAAAGGCGCGCGTGCGCTGGCCACACGCCCCACACAACGTTGGGAGCGCAGTGTGCCGTTGCGGTTTGCAGTTTTACCACGACGAAGGGCACGCGGGCGCGGTGAGGCGGGAGGGGAGACCTTTGGCTTCCGACTGCGGCGAGTCTAGGAGATCGCGGTAAAGGCGCCTCTGACTTTGTGAGGGTGGGTTGATACGGGGACTGTACCGGGGACGCCGGGGGTCGAGGGGGTGCGCACAGCTGCTGCGTGTGCGTTAAGTGATGCGCCGTGCTGAGGCTGATAAGAGCGCCGGATGTCTGGGGGCTGCGCTTGCTCGTACGCAAGGGGCCAGGCCAGCAGAGCGACAAACCCGATTGGATGTTGATGTTGGAGCACAGTCTCACTCATTGCGAGGGCACGAAGGTGGCATGCGGCTCACTCTGAAAGGTCGCCGTTTCTCTCATCTTCGCCGCACAAACGGATTTTGAGCCTGAGTGGTCGTGGCGCGGTACTTTGGGGACGATTCGCACCGACGCCGCGGTGCCGATGAGGCATGGCCGCAAAACATCTGCTGCAGAATTCGTTGAGAACGGTACTGCGGAGTGCGAGGGCGCCAAGGCGGAGTGTCGCGCGTCGCTGTTCGCCAAGCTCTGTGTGCTGCCATCCTGCAGGGCGTGTCAAGCATGGACTTCATCAAGCTTCCTTGCCAGAGTGTGAGGCGTCCAGCGCGCACAAATGCTAACCCCCACGACAGGGCCAGGGCTGCCGGACACCGTTGCGGGTGAGTGGCGTCGTTATTGCCGGCCGAACGGGCGTTCGGCAGTTGCGCGGATTAAACGCGGGGCCGCGTTGGGCACATCGGATGGCCTCGCCTCGCATTCTTTCAACCCCGCATTCTAGATCCGATTCATCCTTGCCTCTTTATCTCGGAAGCAGTCGCTCTCGCAGCTCCAACGACACGCTTAGATTGGCGAGATAGTCACGCGGCCAGCAGCGACGCAGCCGTACGCTTCCACCCTCGGAAGGCGACTCAGTCAAGGTCCCGCGACGCGGACAAAGCGGTCGTCTAGCCAGGGAGACTGCGAGGGCGCTGATCGGGCCTCTGATACTACCCAGCAGTCGCAGCCCATCCTAGGAAATCGATTCCGCCTCGCAAACGCTGGCTTTCCAGCTCGCACACCGGATGGTAAGTGTCCAGGGCGTTCATTTTGACGGGCAATCCAAGTCTCACGCGTTCGCAACGGCCAGACAACTTTCGCATGGAATCGTTTCACTGCGCTGTGGCGCGAAGATTTGATCGAGGCGCGAGCGGGTGCACTCGCCAGCAGGGAGCAACGCCGTTCGCCTTCAGAGCGCCGGACTCTGCCCTGTGCGGTCGAAAGGACCATACAAGGACGCAGAGCCGTCACCCGAAACGCCGCTGGGAAGGTGATTGTGTCAACCACAGATTGCCGTTTGATAGCGGGAAGATGATCCAGGAAGATGCGGCTGTTGGGCCGCCAACCGTGCAAATATTACAGTTCTGGTCAATCAGTCAACCTTTATTGGACACGAGGGGAATTGCGCGAACGCAGCCAATCCTGTGCGGCGAGACGCGAGGCCGCATGCATATCGCGTGGGCGCGAGGGGCATGACATTCCTGGCAGTACTGCCACTAGTGGACAGTGTTCCAGACGCCCTAGTGACAATAGGCCGATGTTGAGTGCAGTACTTACAGAACGGAAAGCCTGGTGCTTTCGCCCTTCTAAGAGCAAATTGCCACAGCCGTGTTGTAGAATATGCCCAGATTTATTGTTTGGATATTATTTATTGTTTCGATTTGGCATGCGTTGCGTTTCAAATTGCCACCCAATGTTCCATCTACTGCGCAGATCGACTTCTATCATGTAGAGCCCTTAGAATGGTCCAATCATGACGATATCTACAAATCGTATCCATGTCTATTTGCGGGGATGGTATTGAAGCCTCTTTCTGATTGAGGCGAAACCAAGGCCTTTCCGTCAAAGAAATGTAATGGCTGGCGATACTTCCAGTCGCATTGTATCAATGCATGAGCGCTATGCTAAGTAGCATCTCTTGCCACTGGGTGCCAGGAATGTGGTGTAGAATATCGCCATCGTCATGGGGCCTTCAAGACTGCATGTATTGTCGCTGCCTCTAAAAGTCTAGCGGGCTTGTACAGTGTCAGACGGAACCAGCAAACAGACGCTGCATATAATCTGGAACGTTTGTAGGACATTCCTAGAAAGCTTTTCGAGAAACGGATACCCAGCGCCGCTGCGCACTAGCCTCTTTCAGCACATTGTCGCCCTGACTTTGAAACTTCTTTTGGAAATGAGCGCGGCTGGGCGGCCTCCACTATTCGCCTTGAAAACTACCCCTTGCTGTCCCGTCCCCAGCCCCCTTTTCTTGAGGTGTCATAATTGCTTTGCTGAATGGCGGCCTGGGCAGGTGTCTGGAAGCGTTTCGCTCAAATCCCAAAAGAACGTGAAAACCTTGTTTTGAATAGCGTGAACGCCACGGTCGACCCGTCCACCCCCAACCCCAATTCAGCGACGTGAGTTTGAACCGCTTAGCCTCGACCACATCCTGCCGCGTCGCGCATTCGCATCGGAAAGTCCCCACACTGCCGAACACGAAATCTGCGGTCACTTTGCGCCTCACTCGCTGCGGTGCGCTGCAAGAAGTGTTTTCCCATCCCTCCAACACCTGTGCCTCTGCAGTCACAAACACCCGCCAACGGACACCACCCTCCGCACAGCACTCATTGCTCTGGTGCGGTTTGTTGTCTGTCTAGGGCCCACTGCCCGTGGTGTTCGCATCCCCATTTTGCTCTCGCGTCCACGCCGGTGCGACCCATTCGATACGGACCGCGGGTGTTTGCCCCATGGCGTGTTCTGAGGGGCGAAACGGTATGAGAGGATCCGCGAACCGCCACAATAGTCGCTTCCGTTTGCTTCGAGGCCGTTTCTCTTTCGCGACGCGCTCCTTCGGGCCGACGTCGTTGCGTGCGCCTGCACATTCGTGCGCGTTGCCTTGCGAAATTACGGGAATGCCCACTCTTCAGCAGAAATCGCAACAGGGACGAAACGGGAAGGGACGGGAAGATGGCGGCGCCAAAGCAGGGACCGCTGGGCAACCCATGGAGTCTGGTCCTTTCAGCCCCCCTTTCTCTGACGTCCGCCCAACACGCACCTGCATTGACAAAAGTGTCCCCTCCAGGCCTTTTCCATCTTGATCTGCAACGAAGGCCTCGCGCTCCTGCCTGCCAGCTTGCTGTGTGCGTCTGGCCGCCGGGCGCGCTGCCCCGGGTAGCCGTGGGTCAGCGCGTGTGGACCCACGCTCGGGAATGGGGCGCGCTGGCTTGAAGTCACTGAACCTTGACATGGGACAAGGGGCGCCGACCTGGAAGGCGATTTGGTGACCTCCGAGGATGTGATGTACCCCGTCATACGGAGGGGCAAGGAGGCTTCATGGAGCTTGACAAATCGCGGGGTTCGAGTGATTCGGGAGCGCGCAAGGGGGCGATCCCCGCTCACAAGGGGCCAAAGTACAGGCCTTTCACAGTACATTTGTTTGGCCCCTTTGCGAGAGGTGCTTCAGTGCGTTGCAGCGGCGCTCTGCGTTGCGGTGTCGTCTTCATTAGCAGGGCTGGTGGACGCCGGTCCAGAAAATTACCTGACACTAGGGGCGCGTGGGAGGTTGGGTGCAGGGACCATCCGCCCGATGAGCGGGGTGTGAGAGGGGCCCAAGCGTCACAGTTAGAAAATGCCACGCTTGCGATGCCATTCGATAGTCACTGATGCCACGGCAGTGATTGCGATGGCATCAATTGTTGAAATTGTCATCGCACAAATGCTGTTTCTCGGTAGTTCGTGAAGCCACCGGCTTCCTGTACAGCGTAGACGTTTCGTCAAGGAGGCAGGCCCTTTCATGGTGCAATGTTTCCAGCAAGGACATCACGTCCGCCAGGGGGAAAATCCCCAAACGCTGAGATTCTAGAAAATGTTCGAGGCTGTTGGCACCTGACCGTGGTTTGGGCAACAGAAATGTACCAACCTTAGCTTACGATTCGCTACCCAACGACAACTCGCTTGTCAGCACAGCTGTCGCCAGGCCTTCGATTACGGGCAGTTTCAGGCGAAATAAAATGCTGCACGGGGAACTTCAGAGGAAGTAGAATGGCTGCCAATATCCGCATTTCGGTGAATTAACGATGGTCAGCCATGAAACAGTCAGGCTGGTTGTCCAGCGCCAGCGGGGAAAGGACCAGGCGTATGAACCGTTGCTGGTGTGGCACACACCTATTACCCAATATTGACGCTACAATCCACGACCGTTTCTGGATACAGATAAGTGAGTACTTCTGCATCAGGACCGCAGTGGCTTGAATGCTGTGGCCATTTTCTTCCTTCGAAGCTCTTTGTGGCTTGTTCCAGATGCGTGCTCAGTTGGGTCCAGGAAAGCAGCCAGGACTGGGACAGAATGACAGAAGATAATTGACTGCATTTTGCCCACTTGACACATGCCTTTGTGTTCGGTCACAAACGCATATCATATACGGTATATGATACAAATACCTGTTGCCTTGGCAGCAGTAGGGTCTGCCGTGGTGCATTGGTACAACACACCACGTTCTCTCCCGCAAAGTGATGACATGGCAAGATTCCGAATGTGCTTTGCTCTTAGCATTATCCCGATCCGCTAAAGAAACCGTTGCGATATGGCGATCTCGGTAGGTGTGAGAGGGCTGGCCTGCCGGTGGGTGCAATGGAAGGGCCTGCACGTCAAACAATTCTGGGCCTGCAGACCTGTGTAGGCTAACAAAATGCCATTTTCGATGCAGAAAAAGTAAAGCGGGGGGTTGCTGTCAAATTTGTCGCCGGCGCTTCTGGCTGGCGAGTCTTTGTGCCTTCTTGCTGCTTATACCTGCAGACTGCGGTAAGCTGCTCGGACACCAGTGGGATATTCTTTCAACATCTGTACAAAAGGACTCCCCCGCTCCATGTGCTGCTTGTTTTCTGGGAATCGCAGTGCTAACTTGCGTTGGACTGCGGGCTCATTCGGCTGTCTTTTGTGCGTGCATGGCACCGTCTTAAACAACACGGGAATGGCTCTGTTGAAGAATCTCTGCCCGGTGCCATATTCCCGTTGGCTTTGTTGCTCATGCTGTCAAGCCAGACAGCACGGAATCGGGAAGAGGAACTGAGAAATATGTGTTGTTGCGGCTCTCCGGCGCAGGAGGCGGTCTGCGTCCACTGACCGGAGGGCAATACGGCGCAGATACGGAGCCGCCGTTGCTGGACGACTTGGCGGAGGACCAGGTCGAGCAGGCATGCAATTACAGCACAGGACGAGCACTGCATTATCTGGATTCGATATAACTACTCGGGACATATTCCTGTTGTCTGAACACGTCACCGCTCCCCCGCGGCCCCCACCCTTGCTTTGCTGTTGTATGATGTCATCCATGGATATTGTCGAATATCAAATGCGGCAATGGTCTCGGAGAGTTGACACTAAAGGTGGGGCGGGATTAAGTTCCGGGCTTGGCTTCCCTTTGAGGCTAAGCCTCTATTTCAGAAGTATTTCAGAATATTCAGAAAAGCGACTTCCCTTTGGTACCCATGTTTTAGTTCTAGAATGGCAAGCCCTCGTAACTTTCACTACACGAAAAATAAAGGGTATCAAGCAAGGCACTAGGCTGATCGTCGATTTGTACTAAATTTTCCCTTGATTTCTACTAGGTCAAATCTTCATGCAGCTGGACTAGATGGAATTTCAATTTTGACCATATTTTCCTTCCAAAGAGCGTGGGGTAGTTAAGAAACGCAGTTTGGCCTGGAGCTCGTTTCAACGCCCATATTGATTCATCTTTGTCTGTTTCTATTTTGATCGCCTTTGCCGCCAGTGGCAAGCAAGAAAAATTTTCCAAAACAAAACACCTGGTCACAAGCTGATCACGCATCGGAATAAGTTGATAATTGGTTGATGCCGATTGGAGCAGAGTGCTCTGCATTCGAACACCATTGTGGCGGCAGCCACTCAATTTGGGGCCTCTTTGTGATGTCACAGGCATTTTGGCCACAGCCACAAAGCAAAACACCACCTAATACGTTAATCGGCGATGTCCATCGCCGCAGATGTCGTCGTACAGCAACGCGCCCACCGCGATCAGCGAGCAATGAACGTTGCTATAAAATGGCACTTCCTTGAATGGGACCTTTGCTGACTGTCCCCCTCATTGTGGCTGCGCCGCAGGAAGCCCGCAAATTGGGTGCAATGGACCAGCCTAGTTACTTCATGCACTTCTGGGACAGGATATTGCGCACATGGGGCATGTGCAGAGGCCTCCTCTTTCGGGGAAACCATGTCCTGACGGCACTCGATTGCATTGCCAACATGGGACTGGACATTGTCGCCGAGTCTAATGGCAACGCCCTTGCGTCTGACCTGACGGTACGATGTTCATTGTTTCTTTGGAATCGTGGGTGTCTGTGCACGCCTGCCTGTGTGCCTCCGTGTGGGCTTTCAAATTCCAAGGCAGCTTGTTCATTCGCGGTACTAGTGTTGCTACTTGGAGGCGCAACACTAAATTGATGAATGTCTCCTCAACAAATCTGAATCAATAATAGTGAATATTTAACAACAGCAGAAGTGGCAATGATGCAATAATGATTCCAAGAGTACAGTACATGCAAAAATTGTGGTGACAATAACAGTGGTATTAATATTGGTATTCTTAACATTAAAAACAATAATACTATTGTTATTTCTATTGCCATAAATAATAATAAGAACTAAAGCAATGGCAGTGATGGTGATCGACGGTGCTAAGCGCTCTCGACTATATTCACTTCCTGCAATGTCCTAAAGTTCCTCTCTGTGGATTCCATTCTTTCTGGACCATTTGGGCCCAGGCTGTTGTACAAGAACAAACCACTGAAGGTGTTTTATATGTCCCCCTATTCGACTGGCAACATTTCTGCATTCCAAGTGAGGAATCCATATTGGCAAATGCGAGAATCTAAGTCATCATAGATTCCTTGGTCTACGGTCGACGGAATACAAGCGACAAATATGCGACTGTTGTTGCTTCCGAATCACGTTCTTCCTAAATTCGTTTTGACGCTATCTTTGGTCTCTCAGGGACTCCCTATCGGGTGGCCAGTGTTCGAACGCGGTCAGTTAGGACTTGGCGCTGATGGCCAGGCCCTCGTTGTCGCGACAATTCCAGGGCACAACTTTGAAGACACTCCAGTACTTGCCGCCAATATGCCGGGACATGGCGTGAGGCCGCACCAGAGATTGCTCGGCTACGACATGCGAGAGCATTTCCCTGCTGTACCGCTTCTGGCGGTGAATTATACGGCGTGCCAAGGGCCCGGCTTGGTGGGAGAAAGCGGCTTCTGTGCTCTCCTGCCACCTGGGGGGACCATGCCAGGTGTGATGGCGACGCAGAGTCATCCTTGGCAAACAGGTCATTTTACGACACCTTACTTTCTAACGTTTACCTTGTCATAGCAGCCATTTTGAAGCAGGGTGGATACAGGGCTCTCATGTTGCGAAGATGTAACAATGGGACGGCAGATTTGCAGAGATTACTTGAGTGGTCAAAACAGCGATGCATTGACAATGATGAGTCAATTCTGCAGCTGTTTATATTGGGCAATTTGGACTCTCTCCAAGCTCGTAAAATCCTCGCCATAGGAATCTAAGAATCATGTTGGAGCTCATGGAGGCTTTTTGGAATCTTCTGGGCAGCACTGATGTTATTTGGACGCTTTGGGTCGCTGAAAATTTTCCAATGGCAACATGGAAATGGTCAAATTGCGACCCATTATCTGTTTCTTCTTGCTGCGCTGTGCCTCAAATATTCTGAGCATTGCTGTTTGTTCCTTCCCACGTCTTTCAGTGCATTGAAATCACTCATCACGCTCACAATCCCCAGCGTGCCTTCTGCCTTCCATATGCTACCGCTGGGGTTGTGCCATTGCGTTGACCTTGCGTTGCGATTGTTGCGACTGGCAGGGGACATTCCGCTCATGCTGGTTTTCGACGAGGAGAGCGTCAGGACGGGGGCGCTGGCGACGCACCTCCTCGTCGGAGCATGTTTGCGCGTCAAAATTTCTTCTGATGCCACCATTCCTGAAGGGCGCTACAAAGGTTGGATGGCCATCTCTTGCCTTCCGATCGACAAGTTATCGGAATGGTTGGAAGAGGTTACACGGCCTGTGGCACGCAACAAGCCCCCCCCCCCAGGTGCGTCTCGCCCTCGTTGGCGCGCGACAACTCGTCGAGTGTTTCACTGGCTAGCCGCCGTGATGGCTGATGTGTTGGTGGGTGGATTAATGACGTCTATTTTGAAGCTGATGGATGTGGATTCGACCTGGTCTGACTCGGCTCGCGATATCACGCAGTCTCGGTGATCGAGCGAATGCAGCCAAATGCGTGACTTTGGATGGCTCGCTATCTGCCATGGTAACATTTACCACTGCGCGCAAAAACAACGCTTTTGAAGCAAATGAAGCACACATACAATTATCTCAGGGGGCGCCAAACGTCACGTATTGAGCACAAATGAAAGTAGCCTGTTGAATTGATACTCCCTCTGTTCTATATCACTGTTTTCAATGATTTTCGAGCCTCTTTTCTCCATTTAATAAACTCCGCTTTAAAATGAAACTCTGTTTAAAGATGTGCCCATGGGTTTGGAGTATGCGGTCAAAATCATGTCAGTCAGTTGAATATTGCGTGTTTTGCAGTTCTTTACCTAATGACGTCACAATTCACTCAGAAACTAAAAAAATACGTCTCGACCAACTTAAAGAGATTGTAGCTGACTATATTTTTTGAAATTGGTTGTTGAATGGTTGGCGACCAATCATTCCGATTCTGGCGTGCTTTTATCTTAAGGGGGCCTTTTTGCCCAACGAATTCATCTTCAAAATGGAGGAAATTGTTATGGACAGAAGAAGCAGAGTTGTTGCCTTGTTGCTTGGTATTTTAGCAGCAGGTGCATGTAAGCAATGATCATTTGGAATTCTTGAAAGCGTGGTTCTACCTTTTGCTGTTGTTGTATTTTGTGCAATGCACAGACTAATAGGGGTGGTGACTATCGAATGAAACCGAAGTGTTGTGAATGATCAGATTGAAAAGAACTTGGAAGCTATACTAATCACACACATACCCATTGCGGGTCTCAAAGGATACCGTTTTATTACTAGAGTGAAAAAATGCTACTGAATCAGCAGTGTGCATGCAGTGTGGGATCTGGTACCAGGAAAACAAGTGAATGCATTTGTGAGGTAACGTGCATTATTGCCCACAGCAACTGTGTACACAGCAAATTTGGATTTTGAAGCGCCGAAAATATCTCTTGGTTGAGACTTTCGAGATAGCGACGTACAGCTCCTATTTTAAGTAATAGAGGGCATCGCGTACTTCATACTTGCCGATCGCAAGCCTGCAAAAAGCTTGAAAATTTGAAACACGCCGGCAATTCGAGTCCACCTAGGGGAACAACACACTGTGTTTTCCTATTGATTTTGCGAAATGTCCTCACAGCGCAGTGCTACCATGTTTTTCCCTTATATGGAATCAACATCTCAGTACAAATGAATTCTCATAACTTTACAGTCAATGGAGGATGGTCAACATGCCATGTCGGATCTTTTATCCACTCACTAAACGCACGCGCTCTGATCGACGTCCTCTGTCCGATTGCAGGAGTCGAGGACTACTTGAAGACAACCGTGGCACTGACGGCGATTTGGCTGGCCCTGGAGGTCCTCAAGCGGATTGCAGCGTTTCTCGTGTTTGCTGCATATGATCACCTGGCCCTGGACAGCTGTAAGAAGCATCTTGACTGGCACCTTGATGAAATGACTTCCGATGAAGCGCCATTCAATGCAAAATTTTCCTGTATTGCTGCCCCAGCATGCAATTCACAACGCCTTTCCGCTGCACATATGCCCGCCTCACCACCCCCCGCCCTCCGCCCCTCCATCTCCACTTTCTCCCCTCCTGGAGAGTTTGTTTTGTTGAAGTCCATTTGACTTAGGTGGTTCCAACCTTCATTGAATGCACGTCTGGCATTTGAATTTCTACAGAGCTTCAGCTCAAGTAGGAATCGTTTTGTTGATATTGATGCACGTTCATTATTGCCGCTTCACATGCTGCTGATCTGCATTGCATTGTAGCCGCACTGCTCAGCCGTTGCATGGATTTGGAAGAGCCATACAGATGTCTTTGGGAGTTTTAATCGGCTCGAGGGCGAGCACCCCCTGGATTGGCCATGCTCGCTGATATGCCGGGCGCATTAGCCACGCCTGTTGAAGCCTAAACACACCGCTAGCAAATTCGCGTTCAGGTCCCGGTCCCCGAGTATTCTGTTTTGATATTGACATGACCTGTATTCACCAGCATTGCAAGCAAATGTCCTTCTGGTTGCCATGCAGATGTCTTGCGGAATTGAGAGCAGTGCAAGAAGTGGCCCCCAGAGCCAATTCAATTCTGAGGATGATCGGAAATCGCCAACAGATGACAAGGTCTCCGACATGAGTCATGTGAAAGACTCTCGTCCACTTTGAACGGAACGTGATGGCCCCATTCCCGCATACAAAGAATACGGAGATAAACCGATTGGAATTACCCATTTTCCTTCCTGAGATTTTCCGAAGTTTTTGCTGGACGCTCACAGCAGTTTTTCTGGGTCAGGGTTTCCAACGAGAGTCAGTGTTGTGGCTTCTCGTTTAGTGCATCAATGAGCAGTGCGGGACACTTTCTGCTGCTTTTTGAGTTGAAAGGGAAATTTGTCTGTGATTTAACGCCGCTGTTGTCTGTTGGCCGACGTGGGTTTGTGATTATGAATGTATCGCATGCGACAGGGAAAAAAAAACTGTCGGTGTGAACATTTGTGAAAAAGTGACAATTTTCACTTGATAAGTCTGGATCCGTTCGACTCGAGCTTCAGAACCAAATGCTGATATCGAGCTCCAGAGTACGTGCGTTCCAGAAGTAGCAGAGAGTAAATTCGAAATGGCGCCGTGGGCATAAAGGCATTGAGAGTGGATTGGAAGGATCATTGCTGTTTCAACGGTCTGAAAATATGCGCGACACTATATAGCAATATATACTGGTTATAGGAATCCAACGAGTACAACTTCGAGCTCCATCCCAACGACAAAATCTGTTATTAACTTAAGGAAAAGCCCTCTTCGCCTGTGCTCACATGAAGACTGGAAATGCTTGCTCACTGACACTCGCACTTGCTTCTTATGAGTCCCGTGCTTTAGAAACTCTTGTTTGGCTTTACGAAAAAAATCCGTTGCCACAGTCAAACCATTAAATGATGATGAAATGTATTTTATGATTAATTGGCCAGCGCCCCTACCCAGCAGCACCCTGTTCTGGGCGCGTCAAGGTGGGGCATTGTATAGATACCCCCACTGTTTTTTTAGGGGGCGACAGTAATGCGATGAAACGGAGGCAGTATTGATATGACACAGTGCTTCCCTTAGCTTTCCTTCGGTTGCCGACTTCTCATCCTGCGGAATATGATTCATCCATAGCAGCCAGTTTCAGCGTCACGGATCCCACATTTCATTATGTGCAGCACCCTTTCGCAGTAATTTCTGCTGCTCTCTAATTCAGGAACCTAAGAGCGGCACCACAGCGTTTGTGGGCGCAAGGAGGGTTTACCCGCCAGTTCTGGGCCGCGTGACGGAAAATTCAAGCACAGCGTGGTTGTGCAACAGACCACAAAAATGCCACGGATCCGTCTTGCTTGAAGAATTCTGTCCTCCGTTTTCGGTATCTCCCACCCCTTTGGTTCTTTCTGGCCGCTGGCCAGGATTCTGACCATTTTCTGTTCTTGTGTGTTTGTGCTCACCAACCATTTGCAGATAGTCAATGCACCATCTGCAACCACATAGGGTTGCAAATGAAGTAGGAAAGAGGGCAAAGAGCAGCTGATGTCATGATGTTCAAACAGTCTTATGGAGTGACGCCATGGACAAAATTCTGTCAAAGCTGTCTTCGCCACAAACCTGGACAAACATCCTGGGAGCAAGTCCCTGTGAAGATGCAACCGCCTGGGATCGCAATTGTCGCCTGCCTGAGCACTGTTTACTGGTAGCACGACGAGTTTTGACATGCTTAACAGCAAAGCGGCCTCCATTGGCGCAACAACACAGCCATGTGACCATTCCCGCAATGTTCGTTTGATGAAGCGTTGAACCCAAATTGAACTGAAACAAACGAATGGTGCTCCTGACGAGTGGCAGCACAGGCCCGTGCTGTGGAGCTTTGCCAGCCGACTAGTGCTGGGCGGTGACTCCAAACCTGGCAGCCTTTGAAGGCGCCGAGGCTCCACCTCCCTGTCAGCCCCTAAGAAACTTGCCCATCTGGAAGCGCAGCGCAACGATGGCCCCTGTCATTCAAGTTCACACTTGGCAGCCATGGCGGAGGAAAATGCCAGCTGCAAGCGACCCACTTGCGGCGAGACATATCATTGGAACGGATTGACGTTGTAACCCTCGCCGCGCTCTCCTAGGTGCTATTGGTGGTCGAGTGTTCTGGGCGGGTTGGCGGCGCCGTTCGCTCGAACGAACTTGTCGGCGCGGATGCGGACAGTGTGACCTGCACGATGGGCTCCACTTCCTGAATGCCAGCCGGTCGGATTTGTGTGAGAGGTGCCGACCATGGCTTTTTCGCCGATGAGGCAGAGACGCTGGGCAGGCAACCTGGCACCGCAACTGGAGGGCCAGAGGGCAAGTAAGCCACGGCTCAGCATCCCTGGTCCGTTACTGGTGCAGCCAGATGTTCTCATATCAGTGTGTGGAGTATGGAAAAGAGTCTCAACCAGAGCGGTTGTCTAGGAAGGGGCGCTCATTATCTGGCATTTTTTTTTGCTAGGAGAAGCCAATGACTGATGTTCTTCACCCGGGAGGGCAGCTGAGCTAAAAAGGGCAGGTGGTAATCGGGGCAAGTTCAACGAAGAAGGCAACTAGCAGGGAAATGTGGCAGAGAGGTTGGAGGCTGGAGGTGTTATCTGTGCTGGGGTGCAGGCTTCATTTCTTTCCGCATACATGTCCTTTGCAGGTGGGCGAGCTGTCAGCCTGATCAACGCAAGATTGGAATACGTTCTCCAACGGCCCTGGGTCACATGCTCGGCTGGCTGACAGGTCGACAGGTGCGAGCCTGGACTACTGTGTAGGTGTCTTTAAGCTGGCACAAGCTGGGCAGGGAAGAGTCCGCAGAGCTTCTGCAAACACGAGATTGGGAGGTGTGTGCAGCAACACACAGACTGCTTTGTGGTCATTCATGAGCTTGAGGCTTAGGGGTAACGTCAGATTAATGCCATAGTTTCCAGCAGTGCGTCGTCATCGTTGGTCAGACAACTTGTTGTGGAAGAGATGCCAGAACTAATTTCAGTGGACATCACAGAAATGGAATCAGCGTCTCAGTGTTGGTCATTGTCAATATGGAACAAAGAAGTCACAAAGCGATGAAAGCACGAGGTGCATGGAAATGATATTCCCTTCATAGAAAGTTCTCAAAGGGGGGGGGGAAGCAATGTTATGCCTTCTGCAATTGGCTTTCCTAGGAGGAAACTACAAGATTGTGGCCATCCATCAGCCAATGTCCTGCCAATTTTTGCAGGTTGTTGCTTTATAAGCAAGGTTTCCTGAACACAACACCACCCTGAATGGCAAAAGCAGGGAGCAGCCTTCTGTCAGGAGCAGCCTGATCACGAAAACTTCTTCATTTTACGTTTGTTTTCTCCATCATTACTTGAACATAGGGCTTCATGTATATCACTTCATACAGCTGCTGCCCACTTTCAGTGCTTTGGGAGATTTGGCCATGAAATGAACAAACTGATTTGGGGTAGAAAATACGCTTGTGAACAAGCGCCCAAAAGCCTGCATCAGTTCAAAGGACAGTGATTTGGTTCGATAGAACAAATTTATCAATATGGATGCCTCCTACATCAGTCTGGGATGTAAGGAGAGCCGATCACTGGGAAGCGACTGACCACTGGCAGTGATCTGCCTTGGAACGGGGTGTGCATAATCCTAACAAACAGTTGCCACATAGTTTGACAGTGGGCATATTTAACTGTGGTGCCTGCATTTTCGCCAATCTTTTCAAAATCTTACAGGGGACTTATTGTGAAGAATGTGTTGGTGCTTGGCACATTCTGCATTGTTGCATTGCAGGTGCTCCAAACATGGCATCACAGCAAGAATCCCCCGGAATCATCGTTGCAGTGACTGCAATGCTGCGAAGATCAAGATCATGCTTTGATTTCATAAACGAAACCTCTAAGCGAGCAAGGCAGAGGACCTTGTGCTCTATGGTCTCTGGGCATGGCGCACTTGCCCACTGCCTGCCCCTGTGCATTTGTTGACAATTCTGGGCCATTTGCACAGGCACACAAGTTTGCTGGAGGGTACTTCATTTGGTCGCTTCGTATACAACTGATTTTGGCATGTGCATTGTGTTAATAATGCAGTGCACTCAAAACTTGAGCTCAAAAGTAGTCACATGCATTGGAGACTGGCCCCCAAGGCTCCAGTCGACTGGCGCTGTTTGCTGGCGGCATGCTGCCAGGAAATGTGCCACTGGTGCAGTATTTTAGGAACATTATTTTTTGCCCCAATGTTTCTTCCAATGTCTGGCTCCTCAGCGCCTGGTGGTTAAGTCCCAAGGCATGGGATGCGTGAACTGGGACAGGGATTCCATCCAGGCTATCTTGGAGAGCCCTGGGAGCCTGAAAACGACACGAGATAGCAAAGACAGGGCGCCCAGGGCTTCTACCAGTGTTAGGATTAGATCAATTTAACTAGATCCTATTTCGCTATACTTTGTGCTGTTTCTTGACATGCTCACGCAAATAAGGTGCAATCCGATGCACATTGTGAACTGCAATGTGTGCAGAAGTCTGTTCGTCTTTGCGCAAGAAGTGCATGTGGAATGTGTCAGGTTCACAGGGTGTTCTTCTTGCGTGAAAGCGCGAGCTTGCAATGCCTCCAAGCCCTTCCTCTCCTGATCGAGACGCCCTGGGAGGGCGTCCTCAATGAAACATGTGGAAAGCGGCTGAACTACGAGCAGCACCGGGCTGCCGGGATGTCAGCAGGATCGGATCTGAAAACACATGGACGCCAAGGTGCCACGGCGGCCCTCCTATCTGCCAAAGCCCACTGCCACCTCATGAGCCCCTACAAAGGGCACGCAGACGTCCACCCCTTGCCCAGAGAACGAACCCAGCCACGGTTCCCAATTCGCCCCCAGCGTTGCCATCCGGGGACAGCCCACCCAAATCTTGAAGCTTCCCGCTGTCCTGGGCATCCCCGCTTCTCGCTCCAAAGCCAAGAGGTGAGGCCAATGCATTCCTCCCGGCCCTTCCCAGGTTTCCAAGTCGGAAACGGCAATCTCCGCGGCGTGTCTTTACTTGCTCATCGCGAACAG